CCCTTTCTCCTCTTCTCACGGTCGCCTTCCCTCTTTCTCTTCTTCCACCCTCCCCTTTCTTCTTTCCCACCTCCCCTTTCTCCTCTTCTTCCATCCTCCCCCTTCTCCTCTTCTTCACACACACCCTTTCTCCTCTTCTTCCACCCTCTTTCTCCTCTTCTTCCACTCTTCTTTCTCCCCTTTCTTTCTCTTCATCCACTCTTCTTCCACCTTTCTCCTCTTCTTCACTCTTCTTCCACCCTCCCCTTCTCTCTTCTTCCATCCTCCCCTTTCTCTTCTTCCATCCTCCCCTTTCTCCTCTCTTCCATCTCATATCCTCTTCTTCCATCACCCTTTCTCCTCTTCTTCCATCCCCCCTTTCTCCTCTTCTTCCATTTTATCAATTTTTGGGTAATTATCATCATCATTATTATTATTATTTTTTTTTTTATTGTTATCATTATTGTTATACTAAAGGAACAACAATGACAACCAAAACAACAACCAAAATGATAGCAAGAGCAACGAAAAAAATAAAGCGGTATATGGCAAGTCACGCAAGGTCTTGAGAACTAATCCCCTAGACCTTGAAAGGTTAGGATCGCACAGCTGGCTGCTTTTACGCCTGCCATGCATTCCGTTGGGATGGAATTAATACTTCTTGTACCCTGTGGTGCAGTGTAAGGATTGACTCACGTACTTTTTTGTGTTTTAAACCCATTTACTAAGACTTCTTGTGATAGAATTTACGTCAGTTCTATTTATCTTGATATTGAATGTTTTCCAGCACTACGCTTACGAGCTAAGCATCTTCCTCTCGTGTTTTTTTTTCACATTTAACATCTATAGTCAGCTGAATATACTGTAAAATAAGTCACTACGTGCTCACCAGCATTCCGTTGATCATAAAAGTTTATATTGCAGAATCCACGATGGAAAATATTCCTGGTCATTCTTCACACTTCGTCCATTATCTGTATCTCCAAGCAATGTACGTGTCCTCTGCCAGGCGCACAAACCCTCAGAACTGAAGCGTTTGTGAAATTGTGCGCTTCGTTCTAGACGCAACGTAAAGCTAGTACTGTACATATATTATCGGTCAACAGAAGAAGCGGAAATCCTCATTATAAGCATGAGGTCACCAAGTATGCCATTTCATTTCTATTCATGAATGCTGTTACTATGTTCCTGCATGCAACACTGAGATGAATAAATACAACGACATTGGTTATAAAGAATCTAATATGTAATAACGGGATGTGTTTCTTTTAGGGTTATGGGCAGGAAGCAGGGGAGCTGTGCCCGAGGCTAGAGACACGGCTAGGGTAGGGCAGTGAGGACAGGTGTAGGGAATTCCAGAAAAGAAGGATGGCGCATAAAGGTAAGAGAAAATCTCATGTTGAAATGTGTTTTGTGATTAACATGCGAGTTATGTTGTGACACACACACACACACACACACACACACACACACACACACACACACACACACACACACACACACACACACACACACACACACACACACACACACACACACACACACATGCGGGAAGGCTATTAACTCTATCACTCATTTGCATTCCCCGTTTCGTCCTCTCTGCCTCTCTCTCTCTCTCTCTCTAAACATCTTTTTTGGCGGTCAAGTCCCTCGTTGCAAGAGTGTTGTTTCAGTGATGTGATCCGAGTTCTCATATTTATGCTACCTCGTGTTCGAACCCATTCAACCAGTAGTACGAATATGTAAACAAACAGTTCTGATATATGAAGTGCGGGCTATTGTACAACTTATCTAAGGTAAACAAATAGTGTATTATTGCATGTCTGTGTAACTTCCCACGACATTTATTTGGTTTATCTAGGAGTTAAATTCGCATAAGTTGTGTCGAGGAATTCCTTTAAAATAAAGTTGCTCCACAAAAGGACGTCAGAACGGTAGCCAGCACGATTTGAGACGAACGTGATGTCGAAGGCGGGAGACACTGGTCAGTGGATGGCCGAGTGACTAAAGTTACCTGCTTCTCCAGCCGGAAGTGAATAGAAAAGGTCGGGGTGTAAAAAAGATATGGAATAGACTCGGTAAATTCTGCGAAGTGGAGTTGCGTCAGGGCTTTGTTGCTGTTCCGGCTTTTTCGGGCGGCTGAGTCATCCTGACTGGGGTTCGTCACCTTGCAGCTTTCCTCATCGTGAGCAAGGAATCTGAGTGAAGTTGGCCATAGATTTTCTTGTCATTATATTAACTGATTCACCAATCAGGGGGTGGTGGAAGGTTGATGACCCTCGCCGGCCCGGGGCCTCCAGGTCGAAACGAACCTCACCTCCCGTACATACTATTGTTTCCACGAGAAACAATTTTACTCATTTACGATGCCTCGCCTTTTCTATCCTGAAAAGGGTTCCTCTCATATGTTTGGCTTTTTTTAACAACTGCTTTTCACTGTTTTCTGTGTACTCCCAAAAATATCCGTTGTTTAATAATATCATTACTTTAATCGTGTCCCTAAAAATACATTGTTTTACGATCATTATTTTTCTTGTGCTCCTAAAATTCAAGCTAATATCAATCTAACACATCTTGCTGAGAGAAGATCCTTGTCATCGGAGTGATAACGTTATGTAACAGATAAGAAAACATGTGGCACACTAACCTGTAGTTCGCTGTCTAGCAGAATGAATCACTAGAGAAAGCGAGAGGTGGAATAAAATGCAGTTGGTACTTGAACAGTGCTAGGGAAATACAAAAGTGAATTACTTGATAGGTTTGAAAATGAGATATGAATTGCAAACGGTACTGAAGAAGTAAATATTGCTGTCAACGATATTTTTGATTTTGTGCATCGGTTGATAAGGATGTGAAGGAAATCAAGAATCATTCTGTGCCTCTCACCTTTTATTTACAAAGTGATTAATTATTTTTTTTCTTTTTTTTTTTTCTTGCTATACTATACTGCAAAGCAGGTTATGTTATATATCAGTATTGTGCAACATAAAGGAGGTGATATTGTATAGCCTTGAAATGGGGGCCTGAATCAACAGAGAGAGAGAGAGAGAGAGAGAGAGAGAGAGTGTGAGTGAGTGAGTGAGTGAGTGAGTGAGTGAGTGAGTGAGTGAGTGAGTGAGTGAGTGAGTAAGTAAGTACGTAAGAGACAGAGTGAGTAAGAGAGTGAAAGATAGAAAAGAGAACGAGAGAAAGATAGAAAGAGAGAACAAGAGAAAGAATAGAAAGAGAGAACGAGAGAAAGATAGAAAGAGAGAACGAGAGAAAGAAAGAGTGAAAGAGAGAAAGAAAGAAAGAGTGAAAGATAGAAAGAAAGAAAGAGTGAAAGATAGAAAGAGAGTGAAAGAGAGAAAGATAGAGAGAGAAAGAGAGAGAGAGAGAGTGAGAGAGAAAGCGAGTGAGAGAGAGAAAGAGAGAAAGATAGAAAGAGTGAAAGAGAAGATAGAAAGAGTGAAGAGTGAAAGAGAGAAAGATAGAAAGAGTGAAAGAGAGAGAGTGAAAGAGAGAGAAGAGAGAGTGAGAAAGAAAGAGAGAGTAGAGTAAGAGAGAAGAGAGAGAGTGAAAGAGAGAAAAGAGAGAGAGTGAAAGAGAGAGAGAGTGAAAGAGAGAAAAGAGAGAGAGTGAAAGAGAGAAAGAGAGAGTGAAAGAGAGAAAGAGAGAGTGAAAGAGAGAAAGAGAGAGAAAGAGAGAAGAGAGAGTGAAAGAGAGAAAGAGAGAAAGAGAAAGAAGAAAGAAAGAAAGAGAAAGAGAGAAAGAGTAAGAGAGAGAAGAGAAAAGAGAAAGTGAAAGAGAGAAAGAGAAAGGAGAGAAGTGAAAGAGAGAAAGAGAAAGAGAAAGAGAGAAAGAGAAGAGTAAGAGAAAGAAGAGTAAGAGTAAGAGAGAAAGAGTAAGAGAGAAAGAGTAGAGAAAGAGAAGAGAGTAAAGAGAAGAGAGAAAGAGTAAGAGAGAAAGAGTAAGAGAGAAAGAGTAAGAGAAAAAGAGTAAGAGAAGAGTAAGAGAGAGAGTGAGAGAGAGAGTGAGAGAGAGAGAGAGAGAGAGAGAGAGAGAGAGAGAGAGAGAGAGAGAGAGAGAGAGAAGAGAGAGAGAGAGAGAGAGAGAGAGAGAGAGAGAGAGAGAGAGAGAGAGAGAGAGAGAGAGAGAGAGAGAGAGAGAGAGAGAGTGGGTGAGTGAGTGTCTCAGAGAGAGGTATCTGGATGGTCGTCCGCAGAGCCGGCAAGGGAGCGAGCGGCAGTCGGGAGATGGCATCCGTAGGGAGAGGGAGACTCCGAGACTCTCCTGAATAACCATGAAGGAGTGTGATTATTGTGTATGTCCTTATATGGATATATATATGTACACACACACACAAACAAAGACACACACAACACACACACACACACACACACACACACACACACACACACACACACACACACACACACACACACACACACACACACACACCTATATATGTGTGTATGCACTCATCAGAGAGCGTTTAATACCCGTGCGAGCGAAGAAAAGCGACGCCACGTGAAACGGCAAGTGATATTTAAACACAAGGACGAGAAGTATGTCATACTCTTGTCCTTGGTGGAAATATCACGGCAAAAGGACACGTACGCAGGTCCTTAAATGGAATCACATTAATCCTTGAGTTACGCTAGAAGGAAGAATATGTAATGGATAATAAGTATAATTGTAACCAAGAAAATAGAGAGAAAAAAAGAAGAGAAAGAGAAAGAAGCGAGGGAGAGAAAGGGAAGACGAAGAAGAAAGAGACCAAAGGAGAGAGGGAAAGCAGAGAGAGAAAAATGCAATTATCTTTACATCGCAGCATTATTTCTGACTTATATTAGGAGTAAATGAGTATAATTATATAAGCAGTTAACAGTTTTATAGTTTTATATTCCTAAAAACACGAGATCCGAGATAAAATATATTGGTTTTATTTAGCGTCCACCTCATTTGAAAGCGAATGTTGCTGTCCAGTTTGCCATTTCCACATAACATTCTAGTGTTACTCTATTCAGTAGTAACTTATTGGCGAAATAATGGATCTCAAATCAGAACTCTTTATATAAAGTCTCAGGTAAGTTTTGTTATTAATAAGAGATGGTTTTCTTTTCCTTTCAATACTCATTGTTTTTTTCAGTCAACAAGACCTGTTTTAAAACTGCAGCGGCCAGAGATATAGAACGAGCCTCAGTTCTTCAGTCTTGCAGTCGGGTCCAGGGGCCGCCAAGACCTGCTCCTTCATCTGCTCCGTGGCAG